AGGCTAAAGCAGCTTAAATAAGGCGCCATGCATGATGTTTGCCAATTGGATGCTTGAGGAAATCAGGTGAGCTGTCAGCTGACTGTGTATGGTATCCAATGGGAAGCTTAGAGGAATCAGCTGATGTATGTGTATGACTAGCTGTGATCTTATGATATAGCTGTAACTGAAAGCTAAGCCTGACTTCGTGCCCTGCCTGAACTAACACTATGCTCAATTTATTGTAGGTGATTTTAATATTCATGTGGATGTTGACAGTGACAGCCTTAGTAATGCATTTATATCATTAATAGACTCAATTGGCTTCTGTCAGAGTGTAAATAAACCAACTCATTGTTTTAATCACACTCTTGACCTTGTTTTATCATATGGCATTGATATTGAACATTTAATAGTCTTCCCACATAATCCTTTCCTATCTGACCATTATTTAATAACTTTTGAATTCATGTTGTTAGATTATAAGCCATTAGGCAAAACTTCCTACAGCAGATGTCTATCTGACAGTGCTGTAGCTAAATTTAAGGAGATTCCTTCAGTGTTTAATTCAATGCCATGTCTGAATTTAACAGAATCCTATAACGACTTTAGTCCCTCTGAAATTGATAATCTTGTCGATAGTGCTACAGGCTCACTACGAAGAACATTAGACTCTATCGCTCCTATAAAAAGGAAATTATTAAAACATAGGAGACTAGCACCATGGTACAACCACCAAACCCGCCAGTTAAAGCAAATAGCTAGGAAATCTGAAAGGAAATGGCGCTCTTCCAAATTATCAGAATATCGCTCAATTTGGCATCATATTCTTAAAACTTATAGAAAGGCCCTCCGTAATGCCAGAGGAGCCTATTACTCAGCACTAATAGAAGAAAATAAGAATAACCCTAGGTTCCTCTTCAGCACTGTAGCCAGACTGACAGAGAGCCACAGCTCTATTGAGCCACATATCCCCATAAACTTAATTAACAATGACTTCATGAGCTTCCTCTATAATAATATTCTTACTATTAGAGAAAAAATTAATCACCAACTGCCATCAACAGTTATCAGTGGCTCTCCAAGTTCAGGGACTTCTGTCAATGTAAACTTAGATATATATTTAGACTGTTTTTCTGCTATCGATCTTCATCAGTTAACTTCAATCATTTCTTCATCGAAGCCATCAACCTATCTATTAGACCCGATCCCAACTAGGCTGCTTAAAGAAGTTGTTCCCTTAATTGGCACTTCTTTACTGGATATGATTAATCTTTCTTTATTATCAGGATATGTACCACAGTCCTTTAAAGTAGCTGTAATTAAACCCCTTCTTAAAAAGTCCACTCTTGACCCAGGGGTTTTAGCCAACTATAGACCGATTTCTAACCTCCCCTTCCTCTCTAAGATTCTGGCTAAAGTAGTCGCCAAAGAGTTGTGTGACTTTCTACATAACAATAGTTTATTTGTGACGCGTTCCATCAAAATGAGTCGGATGTCGCAGCGGCCCGTTTGTGTAGAAACACGTTTTTACAAGAAAATACAATTTTGGGCTATTTTTAGTTTTTACATGTTTCTAATTAAATAAAGTCTCAGCTTTCATACCATGTTTAATGTAAAATACAAAGGATAAATATAGCTAGCATAAATAAAATGAAACAGGTTTCAGAGTTCAAAACACCGGCTAGCGTGTTTGTGTCATCTACGTCATCTGTCAACTGTCAGTTTAGATAGACACGGACACAGAGACAGATTGACAGATTGACAGCTTAGACAAAATGAATTTTCGCGACGACGAAATTGCTCAACTTTTAAATTCAATTCCTGTAAGACATGGTACTTCAGACGACAACTGGATCGACCTTATTACGGACTTTTTCACCGCACCGGCAGCTGAGAGTGAGAGTGACAGCGGCGGCTCGACCTCCGGTATTTCGCTCTACCGACACCGGCCGGCTCCGGCGAAGAAAGTGAGTGTGACGGAGGCCAGGAGGAAGATATTCCACTCGTGGCTGACCCGATGGTAGCATACAATGTCTCTGATTATAATTATGTAAAGCAGTAAAGCAGTAAAGTTTATTTATTTGAATATAAACTGTCTATAAATGTCTTTCAATTCATTTGGAATATGGCGGAATGTTGATTGCTATCTTTAGAGCCCTTTTTCTCAAAAACAAGGTTTGGTGACAATCGACCTTTGGAAGAGCGTGTCTCATACAATTTTTGGAGTAGAAAAATAATTTTGGTATCTCCATAAAGCTGAGACTTTCCTCTTTACAGCCAAGAAGAAAACTCAAAATGAGTTTCTGGGTCAAAGTGACTCAAAATGATGGAGCAGGTCACATTTGAGGATTTTCAGTCAGGATTTAGAGTTCATCATAGCACAGAGACAGCTCTGGTTAAAGTTAATAATGACCTTCTGACTGCTTCTGACAATGGATTTGTCTCTGTACTTGTATTATTAGATCTTAGTGCTGCATTTGACACCATTGACCATAGTATTCTTTTGCAGAGACTTGAGCATCAAATTGGCATTAAAGGAACCGCACTAAGCTGGTTTAAGTCATATTTATCAGAACTCTCGCAGTTTGTACATGTTAACGATGAATCTTCAATAAATACTACAGTTAGTCATGGAGTTCCACAAGGTTCTGTACTTGGACCAATACTATTTACTTTATATATGCTCCCTTTAGGCAACATTATTAGGAATCACTCCATTAACTTTCACTGTTATGCAGATGATACGCAGTTATATCTATCAATCAAGCCCAATGAAATTAATCAATTATCTAAATTACAAACATGTCTTAAGGACATAAAATCCTGGATGAGCTGCAATTTTCTGATGTTAAACTCAGAAAAAATTCTTGTTCTTGGCCCCAAAAACCTTAGAGACTCACTGTCTAAAGATATAGTTACTCTAGACAGCATTAACTTGGCCTCTAGCACCACTGTCAGGAATCTTGGAGTTGTCTTTGATCAGGATTTGTCATTTAACTCCCACATAAAGCAGACCTCTAGGACTGCCTTCTTTCATTTACGTTATATTAGAAAAATTAGACACATACTATCACAGACAGATGCAGAAAAACTAATCCATGCATTTGTTACTTCAAGGCTGGATTACTGCAACTCTTTATTATCAGGTTGCCCCAATAAGTCCATTAAAACACTCCAATTAATTCAAAACGCTGCAGCACGAGTACTGACAGGAACTAGAAAAAGAGATCACATCTCTCCTGTACTAGCTTCTCTGCATTGGCTCCCTGTAAAATGTAGAATAGAATTTAAAATCCTCCTCCTCACCTACAAAGCTCTTCATGGTCAGGCCCCTTCATATCTTGAAGAGCTCATAGTACCCTATTACCCCTCTAGAACACTACGTTCTCTGAATGCTGGGCTACTTGTGGTTCCTATAGTCTCTAAAAGTAGAACAGGAGCCAGAGCCTTCAGTTACCAAGCTCCTCTCCTGTGGAACCAGCTTCCATTTGTGGTTCGGGAGGCAGACACCCACAGGACCAACGAGCTGGGGGGCTCGTGAATCAGCCTGTGTAGTTTTAGGTTAAAGGGACAGAGTTGCAGAGGTTGTTTTTTTTTAATGTATATACTGAGAGGATGGTCTCCAATGACCTTTGACCTTGACTGAGGCCTCCCCAGACCAGTTGCTCTTTTGACCTCATTTGGTCACCAAAGCAGATGGAGGCCTGAACCTTGAACTAGGAGATCCCTGAGATGTGTAAAATCATGTTATCCAGGTAACATGTTATGTTGCTACTACCATACTGAAAGTAGCTTCAGTAATAACTTTGGGCCTCCAACATCTAGAACCTGGTTTGGACATGTAATATAAGTGCTTCCTGACAAGTTCAGCTCATTTGGAGCTATATGGGCCCAGTTATGTGCCTAAAACTGTAGAACAAATTCAAATGGAGCGAACGCTCATGGGCAGATGACAAGACTGAGAGGGTTCAAACCACCACAGGACTGGCCCACGTGGAGTGCAAAATCACTGACAAAACTTTCAGCCTCCTAGCCTGAGAGGAAAAAGGTTTTTCTGGTTGGACCAAGAAAGATCCAGACCCTTGGACTTATACACCCTTAGACCATCTGTAGGTGTTGGTGCTTGATTGGCCTGTTAATTGAATCCTTGGGGCTACATCCACCAAAGTTTATACGCATTATCTAGGCCCACCAAGGACCATGCCCTGTGAATTGCAATTGCAGATTTTCTTTTTAATATATACAATGAAAGGATGATCTCCAATGACCTTTGACACTGACTGATGCCTTCACAGACCAGTTGCTCTTTTGACCTGGTTTGGTCACCAAAGCAGATGGAGGCCTGAAACTGGTTTAGAAAGGTTTGGTCAGTGATTCTGCACTATTGGTCAGATCTAACATTACAGTATAGACCCTTTATTTATTAAAAGTACAAAGGTGGCTCGAGAATAACTTTGACCTGTTTGGCCAAATATGGACCTCATTGGCAGATGGAAAGACTGAGAGGGTTCAAACCACCACAGGACTGGACCACATGGAGTGCAGAATAACTGACAAAACTTTTAGCTTGAGATCCCTGAGATGTTTAGCTAAACCTTGTGAAGATTTAAATGCTAGGTTAAAACACTACTGCTCTAAGTAGACCACTCATACACTCGGACTCAATAATAAACTGTTATGTGCAATAGATACTCAAACATGCAGATTTTTAAAATTATCCATTATGCACCGTTGCCATTGTCTTGCCGTTGTTTCTGTTTGTCACTGTATGTCGTTGTTGTTGGTTTTTTGTCTTTTTCCTGTTTATATTGTATATACTGTTATATTTATTTATTATTCTCCTATCCTCTCGCTGCTGCAATAACCGGAATTTCCCCACTGTGGGATGAATAAAGGCTATTCTATTCTATTCTATTCTATTCTATTCTATTACTGGACTTATGAACTGCGGAAAAATAAATTCCACTATTTTTCAAGTTGAGCAGTTCTATTGAAAACATCAAATTCAAGGAACTCTGTATGGTGACTGAACATTTTAATGTTGCATAAGTTTTGAACAGTTTTCAATTCCTCCTGCCTTCTCCTTTCTTCCCGTCATTCTTGAAATTTCCTTCTTTTCAAAGGTATCTTCCAGGTTTTTTCTGCTGCTCCACTTGATCCTTCTTCACTTTCCCTCTCACTCTTCTCCAGATGCTCCTCTTTTAACTTTCTCTTTTGCACTTCTTTAGCTTTACTCCTCGGCATCACCACAGGCTCATCTTTAATCTTTGTTTCTCTCTTCATTCCCTTTTCACTCTTACTTTTCATCTTCTCCAAAGTCTTCTCTTGAATCTTTGTTTCTCTCTTCTTTCCCTTTTCACTCTTACCCTCCATATTCTCCAAAGTCTTGTCTTGAATCTTTGTTTCTCTCTTCTTTCCCTTTTCACTCTTACCCTCCATATTCCACTCTTTGGACACAGTTTCCCCCATGGATCCTTTATGTTAAGTAAATAATGATTGGTTACTATTGAAATTTGTACCAGTATTTATCCTTTGTATTGTAGTATGTATTTACCTGAGGGAATCATCTGTCCAACTGTGGATCCAGCCTGGTGTTCAATGTTGTCACCTTAAAAGTGTATAAATACAGAAATATATATATGCAACTTTTCTTGTCCAGGCTCTATTACTTCACTTTGTCATATTTTTCCATAATTACCAGATATTGGCATGATGACTTCAAACAAAGATGACTGGTGGAAAATCATCTTATTCACCATATTGACTCGGTCACACACAGTTTTTGTTGAGTGAGTTGTCAAAATCGTTGCTGTTCCTGGGCTTACAAAAGCCTGCTGCATCTAAAAAAATTAAAATAAAAAAGATGTTAAAATATGTTCTCGATCATCTAGTTCGTCTAGCTCGGATGTTCAGGTGTGTTTTAGTGCAGTGCTCTTACACCAGGACGGACTTTGACTGCCACCTTGTCATTCTGTGGGAAAAGGTCAAAGCATGTTGTAAACAGTTTAGAAAGCCACTAATTATTAACACAAAGCGAGCAGATCTACTTCACAGTCAGAAGTTATCATTTTGATTTGTTGGCCTTATAGAAACCCATTTTATCACCTACACACAATGGCAAAGATCCAACATCTATGTAAGAGTCCCTTTATTGTAAAGAATGGGCCTGATGTCTAAACAAGTCTGTTTACTGTAAAATACTTTTTCTGACTTGAGTAACAGCTTTTCTTGTGTTTGTGTTATATGTGGTATATGGTGGTATATGTTGACATTATACTTACTACAGGTGTCTTGAGAGTGACAGGACTCAGTGAAACCAGGGCTGTATTCAGTTTTAGGTCTGGAGATTGGCTCATCAATGCTCGTGTATCCTGTTAATTTATCAATATGAATTAAAGAAGAAATGAAACAGACAAGTGTGGGTTTTAAAAGCCAAGTTTCAAGTTTTTATTTTGCTAATGTGGTAAAACTTTATCTTTTTGTGATATGATTATTGCTTGTTTGATGTACTAGCCACTTCACTTACCTCATTCTGCAACACATCTTCCTCACCACTTTCCCCCATATTTCCTTTTGACAGGGCTTCCTCTTCTTTCTCAGGCAGACATAGACTCTCTCCTCTCGTACACTCCTCCTCTGATTCCTTTTCTGTTACTCTCAGTGCACGGACCCTTGAACCAACCCGCTCAACTTCAGATGAGCTCCTCAGCTGGTTTTATGAAAGACAAAAATAATTTGTTCATTTGGACTGAAAGCTTTTAGTATTTTCCGAAGCATTTACACTGATAATGACTCACCTCTCTTTGCAGGACAGAGCTCTCAGATCTCTTTCTTTTGGCCACCTTGTGAACCCTTCCTATGATCTGTTCATCCTCTTCTTCAAAATCACCCTCTGATTCCTCCTGTGTGGTTTTAATTCATTAAAACTAACTCATTTAGCTCTGAAGGTCTTCAGTACTTTTAAACACTTAAACTGATGATATATCTCACCTCTCTTTGCAGGACAAGGCTCTCAGATCTCTTTCTTTTGGTCACCTTGTGAACCCTTTCTAGGACTTGTTCCTCCTCTTCTTCAGAATCATTCTCAGATTCCTGCTGTGTGGGTTTCCATTCATCAGCGGAGCCATCACCTTCAGATGAACTAAAGCTCTGTTTTTAGGTAACACAAGATTCATTTTACTGATTTTGAATTGAAAGCTTGTAGAATGTGGGGAAGCACTGAATCTAATTATTACTCTCACCTCTATTTTCTGGAAAGGGCACTCAACCTCCCTTTTATCTGTTCCATCCTGTTTAAAAGAGGTCATCTTCTGTTTTTTAATGAAAAGTCAAAAGAGTATGAAAAGCTTTGTAATATGTGGAAGTACTGAAAACTGTCAAAACTCACCATTTGTTGGTTCAAAGGCACAGATGCACTTTTCTCACACAGCTGGTAAGTCCTTTTTGGCACATGTTCCTCATCCTCTTCAGGATCTGGTACTGTTTTTTCTGCTGCTCCACTTGACCCTTCTTCACTTTCCCTCTCACTCTTCTCCAGATGCTCCTCTTTTAACTTTCTCTTTTGCACTTCTTTAACTTTACTTCTCGTCATCACCACAGGATCTTGAATCTTTGTTTCTCTCTTCTTTCCCTTTTCACTCTTACTTTTCATCTTCTCCAAAGTCTTCTCTTGAAACTTTGTTTCTCTCTTCTTTCCCTTTTCACTCTTACCCTCCATGTTCTCCAAAGTCTTCTCTTGAATTTTTGTTTGTCTCTTCTTTCCCTTTTCACTCTTATCCTCCATGTTCTCCAAAGTCTTCTCTTGAATTTTTGTTTCTCTCTTCTTTCCCCTTTTACTCTTACCCTCCATGTTCTCCAAAGCCTTTTCTTGAATCTTTGTTTCTCTCTTCTTTCCTTTTTCGCTCTTGCCCTCCATCTTCTCCAGAGACTTATCTTGAATCTTTGTTTCTCTCTTCTTTCCCTTTTCACTCTTACCTTCCATGTTCTCCAAAGTCTTCTCTTGAAACTTTGTTTCTCTCTTCTTTCCCTTTTCACTCTTACCCTTCATGTTCTCCAAAGTCTTCTCTTGAATCTTTGTTTCTCTCTTCTTTCCTTTTTTACGCTTACCCTCCATGTTCTCCAGAGACTTCTCTTGAATCTTTGTTTCTCTCTTCTTTCCCTTTTCACTCTTATCCTCCATGTTCTCCAAAGTCTTCTCTTGAATTTTTGTTTCTCTCTTCTTTCCCCTTTTACTCTTACCCTCCATGTTCTCCAAAGCCTTTTCTTGAATCTTTGTTTCTCTCTTCTTTCCTTTTTCGCTCTTACCCTCCATCTTCTCCAGAGACTTATCTTGAATCTTTGTTTCTCTCTTCTTTCCCTTTTCACTCTTACCTTCCATGTTCTCCAAAGTCTTCTCTTGAATCTTTGTTTCTCTCTTCTTTCCCTTTTTACTCTTACCCTCCATGTTCTCCAAAGCCTTCTCTTGAATTTTTGTTTGTCTCTTCTTTCCCCTTTTACTCTTACCCTCCATGTTCTCCAAAGTCTTTTTTTGAATCGTTGTTTCTCTCTTCTTTCCCTTTTCACTCTTACTCTCCATCTTCTCCAAGGTCTCTTCCAGAATCGTTTTCTTTGTCTTTTGTCCTGCTCTACCCTCATTGTGGATCTTTTCCTCTGCCCTTTGTCCTTCTTCACCATCACTGTCCATCTTCTCCAAAGTCTCTTCCTGTGTCTCTTTCTCTGTCTTTTGTCCTTCTTTTAGCTTATTTCTGTCACCTTCAATCTTTGACATCTCCAAATAGCCCTCATCCACTTCACCTTCTTTTTCTTGTCCTTCATATTCTCCCCCCCTTTGTTCAGGCAGGCTCTTGTGCAATGTTGTGTCTCCCACTGAGACTTCATTCTCCAATAGCCACTCTTTGGACACAGTTTCCCCCATGGATCCTTTATGTTAAGTAAATAATGATTGGTTACTATTGAAATTTGCACCAGTATTTATCCTTTGCATTGTACTATGTATTTACCTGAGGGAATCATCTGTCCAACTGTGGATCCAGCCTGGTGTTCAATGTTGTCACCTTAAAAGTGTATAAATACAGAAATATATATATGCAACTTTTCTTGTCCAGGCTCTATTACTTCACTTTGTCATATTTTTCCATAATTACCAGATATTGGCACGATGACTTCAAACAAAGATGACTGGTGGAAAATCATCTTATTCACCATATTGACTCGGTCACACACAGTTTTTGTTGAGTGAGTTGTCAAAATCGTTGCTGTTCCTGGGCTTACAAAAGCTTGCTGCATCTAAAAAAATTAAAATAAAAAAGATGTTAAAATATGTTCTCGATCATCTAGTTCATCTAGCTCGGATGTTCAGGTGTGTTTTAGTGCAGTGCTCTTACACCAGGACGGACTTTGACTGCCACCTTGTCATTCTGTGGGAAAAGGTCAAAGCATGTTGTAAACAGTTTAGAAAGCCACTAATTATTAACAAAAAGCGAGCAGATCTACTTCACAGTCAGAAGTTATCATTTTGATTTGTTGGCCTTATAGAAACCCATTTTATCACCTACACACAATGGCAAAGATCCAACATCTATGTAAGAGTCCCTTTATTGTAAAGAATGGGCCTGATGTCTAAACAAGTCTGTTTACTGTAAAATACTTTTTCTGACTTGAGTAACAGCTTTTCTTGTGTTTGTGTTATATGTGGTATATGGTGGTATATGTTGACATTATACTTACTACAGGTGTCTTGAGAGTGACAGGACTCAGTGAAACCAGGGCTGTATTCAGTTTTAGGTCTGGAGATTGGCTCATCAATGCTCGTGTATCCTGTTAATTTATCAATATGAATTAAAGAAGAAATGAAACAGACAAGTGTGGGTTTTAAAAGCCAAGTTTCAAGTTTTTATTTTGCTAATGTGGTAAAACGTTATCTTTTTGTGATATGATTATTGCTTGTTTGATGTACTAGCCACTTCACTTACCTCATTCTGCAACACATCTTCCTCACCACTTTCTTTTGACAGGGCTTCCTCTTCTTTCTCAGGCAGACTTGGACTCTCTCCTCTCGTACACTCCTCCTCTGATTCCTTTTCTGTTACTCTCAGTGCACGGATCCTTGAACCAACCCGCTCAACTTCAGATGAGCTCCTCAGCTGGTTTAATGAAAGACAAAAATAATTTGTTCATTTGGACTGAAAGCTTTTAGTATTTTCCGACGCATTTACACTGATAATGACTCACCTCTCTTTGCAGGACAGAGCTCTCAGATCTCTTTCTTTTGGCCACCTTGTGAACCCTTCCTATGATCTGTTCATCCTCTTCTTCAAAATCACCCTCTGATTCCTCCTGTGTGGTTTTAATTCATTAAAACTAACTCATTTAGCTCTGAAGGTCTTCAGTACTTTTAAACACTTAAACTGATGATATATCTCAACTCTCTTTGCAGGACAAGGCTCTCAGATCTCTTTCTTTTGGTCACCTTGTGAACCCTTTCTAGGACTTGTTCCTCCTCTTCTTCAGAATCATTCTCAGATTCCTGCTGTGTGGGTTTCCATTCATCAGCGGAGCCATCACCTTCAGATGAACTAAAGCTCTGTTTTTAGGTAACACAAGATTCATTTTACTGATTTTGAATTGAAAGCTTGTAGAATGTGGGGAAGCACTGAATCTAATTATTACTCTCACCTCTATTTTCTGGAAAGGGCACTCAACCTCCCTTTTATCTGTTCCATCCTGTTTAAAAGAGGTCATCTTCTGTTTTTTTAATGAAAAGTCAAAAGAGTATGAAAAGCTTTGTAATATGTGGAAGTACTGAAAACTGTCAAAACTCACCATTTGTTGGTTCAAAGGCACAGATGCACTTTTCTCACACAGCTGGTAAGTCCTTTTTGGCACATGTTCCTCATCCTCTTCAGGATCTGGTACTGTTTTTTCTGCTGCTCCACTTGACCCTTCTTCACTTTCCCTCTCACTCTTCTCCAGATGCTCCTCTTTTAACTTTCTCTTTTGCACTTCTTTAACTTTACTTCTCGTCATCACCACAGGATCTTGAATCTTTGTTTCTCTCTTCTTTCCCTTTTCACTCTTATCCTCCATGTTCTCCAAAGTCTTCTCTTGAATTTTTGTTTCTCTCTTCTTTCCCCTTTTACTCTTACCCTCCATGTTCTCCAAAGCCTTTTCTTGAATCTTTGTTTCTCTCTTCTTTCCTTTTTCGCTCTTACCCTCCATCTTCTCCAGAGACTTATCTTGAATCTTTGTTTCTCTCTTCTTTCCCTTTTCACTCTTACCTTCCATGTTCTCCAAAGTCTTCTCTTGAATCTTTGTTTCTCTCTTCTTTCCCTTTTTACTCTTACCCTCCATGTTCTCCAAAGTCTTCTCTTGAATTTTTGTTTGTCTCTTCTTTCCCCTTTTACTCTTACCCTCCATGTTCTCCAAAGTCTTTTTTTTGAATCGTTGTTTCTCTCTTCTTTCCCTTTTCACTCTTACTCTCCATCTTCTCCAAGGTCTCTTCCAGAATCGTTTTCTTTGTCTTTTGTCCTGCTCTACCCTCATTGTGGATCTTTTCCTCTGCCCTTTGTCCTTCTTCACCATCACTGTCCATCTTCTCCAAAGTCTCTTCCTGTGTCTCTTTCTCTGTCTTTTGTCCTTCTTTTAGCTTATTTCTGTCACCTTCAATCTTTGACATCTCCAAATAGCCCTCATCCACTTCACCTTCTTTTTCTTGTCCTTCATATTCTCCCCCCCTTTGTTCAGGCAGGCTCTTGTGCAATGTTGTGTCTCCCACTGGGACTTCATTCTCCAATAGCCACTCTTTGGACACAGTTTCCCCCATGGATCCTTTATGTTAAGTAAATAATGATTGGTTACTATTGAAATTTGCACCAGTATTTATCCTTTGCATTGTACTATGTATTTACCTGAGGGAATCATCTGTCCAACTGTGGATCCAGCCTGGTGTTCAATGTTGTCACCTTAAAAGTGTATAAATACAGAAATATATATATGCAACTTTTCTTGTCCAGGCTCTATTACTTCACTTTGTCATATTTTTCCATAATTACCAGATATTGGCACGATGACTTCAAACAAAGATGACTGGTGGAAAATCATCTTATTCACCATATTGACTCGTTCACACACAGTTTTTGTTGAGTGAGTTGTCAAAATCGTTGCTGTTCCTGGGCTTACAAAAGCCTGCTGCATCTAAAAAAATTAAAATAAAAAAGATGTTAAAATATGTTCTCGATCATCTAGTTCGTCTAGCTCGGATGTTCAGGTGTGTTTTAGTGCAGTGCTCTTACACCAGGACGGACTTTGACTGCCACCTTGTCATTCTGTGGGAAAAGGTCAAAGCATGTTGTAAACAGTTAACAAAAAGCGAGCAGATCTACTTCACAGTCAGAAGTTATCATTTTGATTTGTTGGCCTTATAGAAACCCATTTTATCACCTACACACAATGGCAAAGATCCAACATCTATGTAAGAGTCCCTTTATTGTAAAGAATGGGCCTGATGTCTAAACAAGTCTGTTTACTGTAAAATACTTTTTCTGACTTGAGTAACAGCTTTTCTTGTGTTTGTGTTATATGTGGTATATGGTGGTATATGTTGACATTATACTTACTACAGGTGTCTTGAGAGTGACAGGACTCAGTGAAACCAGGGCTGTATTCAGTTTTAGGTCTGGAGATTGGCTCATCAATGCTCGTGTATCCTGTTAATTTATCAATATGAATTAAAGAAGAAATGAAACAGACAAGTGTGGGTTTTAAAAGCCAAGTTTCAAGTTTTTATTTTGCTAATGTGGTAAAACGTTATCTTTTTGTGATATGATTATTGCTTGTTTGATGTACTAGCCACTTCACTTACCTCATTCTGCAACACATCTTCCTCACCACTTTCTTTTGACAGGGCTTCCTCTTCTTTCTCAGGCAGACTTGGACTCTCTCCTCTCGTACACTCCTCCTCTGATTCCTTTTCTGTTACTCTCAGTGCACGGATCCTTGAACCAACCCGCTCAACTTCAGATGAGCTCCTCAGCTGGTTTTATGAAAGACAAAAATAATTTGTTCATTTGGACTGAAAGCTTTTAGTATTTTCCGAAGCATTTACACTGATAATGACTCACCTCTCTTTGCAGGACAGAGCTCTCAGATCTCTTTCTTTTGGCCACCTTGTGAACCCTTCCTATGATCTGTTCATCCTCTTCTTCAAAATCACCCTCTGATTCTGCCTGTGTGGTTTTAACTCATTAAAACTCTAACTCATTCAGCTCTGAAGATCTTCAGTACTTTTAAACACTTAAACTGATGATAGATCTCACCTCTCTTTGCAGGACAAGGCTCTCAGATCTCTTTCTTTTGTTTACCTTGTGAACCCTTTCTAGGACTTGTTCCTCCTCTTCTTCAGAATCATTCTCAGATTCCTGCTGTGTGGGTTTCCATTCATCAGCGGAGCCATCACCTTCAGATGAACTAAAGCTCTGTTTTTAGGTAACACAAGATTCATTTTACTGATTTTGAATTGAAAGCTTGTAGAATGTGGGGAAGCACTGAATCTAATTATTACTCTCACCTCTATTTTCTGGAAAGGGCACTCAACCTCCCTTTTATCTGTTCCATCCTGTTTAAAAGAGGTCATCGTCTGTTTTTTAATGAAAAGTCAAAAGAGTATTTAAAGCTTTGTAATATGTGGAAGTACTGAAAACTGTCAAAACTCACCATTTGTTGGTTCAAAGGCACAGATGCCCTTTTCTCACGCAGCTGGTAAGTCCTTTTTGGCACATGTTCCTCATCCTCTTCAGGATCTGGTACTGTTTCAGTTAGTGTGGTTTTCATATCACCTGCATCATCCTCATCAGATGAGCTCACCATCTTTTTTCAGGAAAAATAAAGTATATTAAGCTCATTTTAGAATGACGTATTTTAATTTGTGTGTGGAAACACTGCCTGTCTCACCTGCTGGTCTGACGGCACAAGGATCTTGTTGCTGTACAGCTGGTTAAGCCTTTTTCTCACAGGCTTCTCTTGGCCCAATGGTTCATGCTCCTCCTCTTCATACCCCTGATTGTCTTCATTTTGTGCAGGTTCGTTGTCCTCCCTTTCAGAAGCAATGGTCATGGTTTTGTCTTTCTTGTGTTTCTCTCTGCGTTTCCATGTCTTTGCAGCATATGTAGAAATTGCCATCATTGACAATTCTCTACTCTGGAGTGTGACCTCTGCTGGGTCCTCCGCTGTGCAAAGAAATGGATAAAATGAATACAAGTTAATGGATACTACAAGAACAAATAGGTTTGGCATTGATTTAGATTGTTTAAAAAACCTTGATAAAATCTTTTGGCTGTGTTTGCATCATGGCACATAAAAGTCGTCACTTTCTGGTAGGTTTTATGGCCCAACTGCCGCTTGGCCTGGAGGAATGAATGTAAAAAAGAAATATATACAGGTGCAAAATTCATTAACTTTTACCACACTTAATTGTTTTTAAGATACAAAAAAACATGAGAAGTTATCTCACATAAGTGGCAACAGAGGAGCGCAGCATGTTGAAAGTTGGGGCTGTCCCCAAGCCCATCCCCTCCCAGGCTTCCTTGAAATATTCAGACAGCTTCAGCAAGACGCCTCCACTGGTTGTGTGAAAGAAGGTAGAAGCCTCTTTGCCTCCTTCAATTCTGTTTCGAAGCAGGTTGTAACGCTGCAACCAGGAATACTCGCTTGGCTTGAGGGGTACAGCTGCTTCACCAAAGTACCTTTGAGTCTTGTGCTGTCCAACCTAATAATTCAGGAAAGTTGACTTTTCACTCTGACCAACTGATATAACAATGTGTATGTCTCTTGTGTCCTTTCAGTTTTTGTAATAATGTTTGCACTTACACGGATGATGCGGGCACCGTGCTTAGTCTTTTCTGCTGCCTTGACCTCCTTTGTGGTCATGTTGATCACAACACCCTTTCGGTGGCCTGTTGTTGCAATAATATAGCCACCCAGCAGTCCAAAAAACTCTTTCAGACATGTTCGGTCCTCTGGATGCTTCTCAAGGTCAACTGTAAAAGCAGAGGAAGGACATTGTATGCATTCACTCGCAATGATAATGTTCTTTACCTTAGTACCACACGTTGGCCACACAAAAGCAGCAGAGACCAGCCCATATATAAAAACCCAGTTTGTAGATGTTAATCCCTGTAATGTAAAATCTGCAGAACGGTATCTTCACCCAAAGTTTGAGTCTGGAGAAGCCCCATAACATTAAATAAACCTTATTTTTACAAATCTGAAACTTATGCTGAGCAATGATCCATACCCAGTACTGCAGTGATCTTCTTCGGAGCCTCATCTATAAACCATGCATGTTTCTGTGCCTTGACCAGTCTCTCTGAAATTTTGAATAGCATTTATTATATGCATGTTCCCTGCTTTTAAGGATGTAATGTTAATGTTTGGAGGTGGGGTTATGAATGTTAAACATACCAGATTTACTTCGCCTCACACTGAGCTGGTGCCCGACCACATCCCGGCCAATATCTCTGATCCGGGCCCTCAGCTCTACCAAGATGGCATTGATTCTTTTTGTTGCCAGTCTGACAGATGGTGGTGCCATGTTTGAAATATATTTCATAAAGGCCACAACATCCATCAAATAGTTTCTCTGTGTTGGGGGTTTGAAGCCTTTTTCCTGAAGGTCTGCAACAAAACTTGAAAGACAAAAATACAAATACAGTCATGTCCTCTACCCTGTGACACACTGATGCTTCTAACAGTGTAGTACTGTTAGGGATATTTTTGTTTCTTCTTGTTTGATTACACCATCCCCTGATATCTGTCAGGAGTGTTTTATCTCTTTTATAATCAAATAGTGTTTTACCTCTCCTATTGATTAAGTCACATATTTTACCTCTTATTGATAAAGCTGATCAAGTGACCCTTTCCTACCTCTGATTAATACAGCTATACTTCCTACCTCGAGACAGTGTAGTGTGCCTTAAATCACATATCATGTTTGTATGCAATATTCAAAGATACTGTGTTACTAATCATTGAGTTGTTGTGACCTGTCCAGCAATCAGAGGGTATGACGCATTAGTCCCGTGGTGTGAAGGATTAATACATGTGAGAGATAAGCCAGGATACTCTGAAAGTCCCTTTATTATTACTAGCTATTATTATTATTACTAACGAACATGCACTGAATCACAAGTCTGCACTAAAAGGGACTTTTTACTGTAGCTCATACTGTGACATTTGATGCAATTGTTTAAAGATAGGCCTGTACACCAAGTTACACAGGTGCCTTTGTTTTCAAAGAATCAGCCTGAAGCTGTGGCCAAGGTCATGCGAAGGATGCAAGCAAGTGATGGGAGCAAGTAACAGACACAATGGAGCCTAAGACCATAGAAAGATTCCAAACATGGTGCAGGTGAGATAGTATAGGGAGGATCTTTCAACGCGGCGATGTCTTCTGTGGATGGATGGTTCGTGTGCCAAGAGGCTGAGACCAGCCTGTGCACCAACGAAGGAAGAGCTATGTCTAAACCACGGTTTCTTCCCACCAGTTTTGCCAATCATAATAATCAATGTTGACTTGTAATTTGCATGCTGCACATCATATAGTGAATATGTGTTAACAATCTTTATCCTTTTCTGGGAGGCTGGATACAGAGTAACAGGGATCTGCTGACTGTGTTTTTCCAAACAGAAAAGGTCCATGATCATGTACTCTTAATAATCCAATTTGAAAATAAATAGTTAAGAGCACGTCGTAGTTTGTCTTCTCTCAAATAAACGAACACGTTTTCCTGACAGTACTTACCCACGGATTCTAGCGTGGTTGCTCAGGAAAAGAAGGTCAATATTTGGGATTGATGAGTCTGCCATGTACTCTAGAAAATCCCGAACATGTTTGGCTCGCTGCTTGGCGTTTTCAGACGTTTTCCTACTGGGGTTGGCACCTTCTGTGTGGCCCCTAAATTCCTCGACCAATCTTACTGAAGAGGAAAGAATATAAAGCAAATCAAATATTTTTGCATGGTCTTCTTTCTTAAATCACAGAACTCAGATGTCTTTACAATCTGCATATTAACCCAACATCCCCTATCATTCAA